GGGCCCATTTTCAAATTCGATAGCATTTTCATAAAAAGCGCCCCCCAAAACATAATAGTCGATCCTGATATCGATTTAATTCAAAAAGTTAAAAAAAGTCGGGGCTGGGGGGGGCCCATTTTCAAATTCGATAGCATTTTCTTAAAAAGCGCCCCCCCCAAAACATAATAGTCGATCCTGATATCGATTTAATTCAAAAAGTTAAAAAAAGTCGGGGCTGGGGGGGCCCAATCTCAAATTCGATATCATTTTCATAAAAAGCACCCCCTAAAACCTAATAGTCGACCCTGATATCGATTTAATCCAAAAAGTTAAAAAAAGTCGAGGCCCGGGGGGCCCATTTTCGAATTCGATAGCATTTTCATAAAAAGCGCCCCCCAAAACATAATAGTCGATCCTGATATCGATTTAATTCAAAAAGTTAAAAAAAGTCGGGGCTGGGGGGGCCCAATCTCAAATTCGATATCATTTTCATAAAAAGCACCCCCTAAAACCTAATAGTCGACCCTGATATCGATTTAATCCAAAAAGTTAAAAAAAGTCGAGGCCCGGGGGGCCCATTTTAAAATTCGATAGCATTTTCATAAAAAGCGCCCCCCAAAACATAATAGTCGACCCTGATATCGATTTAATTCAAAAAGTTAAAAAAAGTCGGGGCCCGGGGAGCCCTATCTCAAATTCGATATCATTTTCATAAAAAGCACCCCCTAAAACCTAATAGTCGACCCTGATATCGATTTAATCCAAAAAGTTAAAAAAAGTCGGGGCCGGGGGGGCCCAATCTCAAATTCGATATCATTTTCATAAAAAGCACCCCCTAAAACCTAATAGTCGACCCTGATATCGATTTAATCCAAAAAGTTAAAAAAAGTCGAGGCCCGGGGGGCCCATTTTCGAATTCGATAGCATTTTCATAAAAAGCGCCCCCCAAAACATAATAGTCGATCCTGATATCGATTTAATTCAAAAAGTTAAAAAAAGTCGGGGCTGGGGGGGCCCAATCTCAAATTCGATATCATTTTCATAAAAAGCACCCCCTAAAACCTAATAGTCGACCCTGATATCGATTTAATCCAAAAAGTTAAAAAAAGTCGAGGCCCGGGGGTCCCATTTTAAAATTCGATAGCATTTTCATAAAAAGCGCCCCCCAAAACATAATAGTCGACCCTGATATCGATTTAATTCAAAAAGTTAAAAAAAGTCGGGGCCCGGGGAGCCCTATCTCAAATTCGATATCATTTTCATAAAAAGCACCCCCTAAAACCTAATAGTCGACCCTGATATCGATTTAATCCAAAAAGTTAAAAAATGTCGGGGCCCGGGGGGCCCAATCTCAAATTCGGTATCATTTCCATGAAAAGCACCCCCTAAAACCTAATAGTTGACCCTGATATCGATTTAATCTAAAAAGTTAAAAAAAGTCGGGGCTGGGGAAGCCCAATCTCAAATTCGATATCATTTTCATAAAAAGCACCCCCTAAAACCTAATAGTCGACCCTGATATCGATTTAATCCAAAAAGTTAAAAAAAGTCGAGGCCCGGGGGTCCCATTTTAAAATTCGATAGCATTTTCATAAAAAGCGCCCCCCAAAACATAATAGTCGACCCTGATATCGATTTAATTCAAAAAGTTAAAAAAAGTCGGGGCCCGGGGAGCCCTATCTCAAATTCGATATCATTTTCATAAAAAGCACCCCCTAAAACCTAATAGTCGACCCTGATATCGATTTAATCCAAAAAGTTAAAAAATGTCGGGGCCCGGGGGGCCCAATCTCAAATTCGGTATCATTTCCATGAAAAGCACCCCCTAAAACCTAATAGTTGACCCTGATATCGATTTAATCTAAAAAGTTAAAAAAAGTCGGGGCTGGGGAAGCCCAATCTCAAATTCGATATCATTTTCATAAAAAGCACCCCCTAAAACCTAATAGTCGACCCTGATATCGATTTAATCCAAAAAGTTAAAAAAAGTCGAGGCCCGGGGGGCCCAATCTCAAATTCGATATCATTTTCATAAAAAGCTCCCCCCAAAACATAATAGTCGACCCTGATATCGATTTAATTCAAAAAGTTAAAAAAAGTCGGGCCCGGGGGGCCCAATCTCAAATTCGATATCATTTTCATAAAAAGCACCCTCTAAAACCTAATAGTCGACCCTGATATCGATTTAATATAAAAAGTTAAAAAAAGTCGAGGCCCGGGGGCCCATTTTCAAATTCGATATCATTTTCATAAAAAGCGCCCCCCAAAACATAATAGTCGACCCTGATATCGATTTAATTCAAAAAGTTAAAAAAAGTCGGGGCCCGGGGGGCCCATTTTCAAATTCGATAGCATTTTCATAAAAAGCGCCCCCCAAAACATAATAGTCGACCCATATATCGATTTAACCGGAAAAGTTATGAAAATTCGATGCCCGGGGGCACTATCTAAAATCCGACAGTATATGTTTATAAAAAGGGCCCCCCAAGACATGATGGTTAGTCTAATAGCGATTAATGGAGGCTCGGGGTTGGCCAGGTCGAATATGGCCGCTATTATTGAAGGAAATAAAAGAAAACATTTATACTCTTTATAATAATGACGGAGTAGTTGAAAAATAAAAAGTACTCTTTGTAGGAATTGGGCTGAGTACTTTCTGTAATTCGATATAACAGCGCGAGTATTTTCTGTACTTAACTAAATCATGATTGACGCAGCGTGAGTACTCTCAGTACTCGCCGCTGCCAGGCGGAGTACAGAAACTACTTGATACTTTTTCCTAATAAAATTACTCAAATCATGAAAGTAATCGAGTACTGCCCATCTCTAGTTAGAATCAACTCTAGCAGCTGTAGTGTTTCTTTCAATGCTAAAGAAATTACAATATCTGAGGGTTTACTAAGTGGAGGGGGAGGAGGGAGTGAGTCCTTCTCTGGAGATGCTGATAAATGATTGACATCTTTCCATAAATCAGTTTATTTAAAAGTAGGACAACTTTAAGCAAAAACAACTAAAACAATTTTCAAAAAGTAAATGTATTTTTTTCAATATCTGACAACAATTGATGTAACCTCTCTCTCAATTCCAACTCCTATTTTTTTTTTACTTTCCTACCTATACTAGGTAAGGAAAGTATTGCAATCGGGTCAAATTTCCGACATGCGGTTTTCGACGGATCTATACGTTTCACAGCCCTCTGAGTCCTAAAAACACACCGTTTAGCCTGTTGTAATGAAATTCCCTACAAAGCCATATAAAAATCGTTCATTTTAGACAACTATTAACGTTACAGCTATTCAATTTCCAATTATGAGTTTACTGTAATCCGCATCACACAATCTTCACTATTTCCTCTACTTTTAACAGAAATTATTGTTTGACAATACTAAGCTATAGCAAAAAGTTTTTGATCCGCAATATTAGTGAGTATTGAAATTTTTACACTGATCTACCTTAAGCCGGTTTCATTGCCTTAGTTTATCTAATAAGTTGTACTCAAATCTTTTGTTTCTTCATGAACATATGTAAAGATATAAAAACTTTTCTGAAATAGGTAGGAAAGCCGTGTGTGTTGACACACCAGATTTTTGTTTGTTTGTTTTTTTTTAGATATTATTATCTTTTATATTCTTATCATTTTGCCAACTGTGACAGCAGCTCTGTAAGACCTAACATTTGTTGAGTTGGACCTATTTTGGTTAATAATTAGAATATGGTTAATCTGATTCACAGTTGATCCATCCATTAAGATCCATGTTCCAGTATGTATCCTTTTCGGTGAGAAGACTGTACTGTCATTAATTTGATTATTTGAGGCTTCAAAGTTTACCACCTTATCTTCTGTAGATCATACAAACTTGGCTGACCAATAACTGAGGTATGCACAGTATCTTCCCTAGTTTTGCATTGAGGTCTCTAGAAATTACCTTCATGTTATATCTGAGGCATTCTTTAATACTGTCGAAAATCTCAAACAATTCATCTTTATCTGTATCTGAGAACGTTTCAGTTAATGAATGTATATTTAGTATTGAGTTATTCGTAAATTTTCTTTTTATGCATATAATGCATACTCTTGGAGACACGGCTTTGAAATCAATTACAAGTTATCGCAATACCTTTTCCTTATGATGAATCTAGTTCCAAACTGATGGTGGTGTACATGACAGCTTTCATTATGTATAAGCCTTCACTTTATAAACTAGGGGCTTCCAAACCATCCTATTCTCTAGGATCACTTACCAACCCAAGGTTTTTTATTAGAGAGGTGCTATTTCTCTATCCTTCCTCATTTATTCAGGCTTAGGATTGGTTGAGGGTTTTTATACTGATTATCGAATTTCATGAAAAAATTCCGTACTCTATATTATTAACATTCTAATAGGAGTACTGAAAGGGGACAAGATTGTATTCACTAGGATTATTTAGAGTTTTTAATGCAATTTAGTGGATTCCATTGGCCAATTGATTCTTTAGTGGCCCTATTGGAGAATAAGTAATAACATTACTTATTCTTCATGATGAAATTATATCAGACATGATATAATTATATTTGATTTTTTATAATTATATTTGACTTTCATTTTGAGGCAGATCCTCAGAATAAATCTTAACCTTCCCACTCTGGTTAGAATAGGTTTGGTCATACCTCAAGAAAAACCTCCCTTCCCCGTTTGCCAGGAATGGTGAGGTATGGAGTAATCCAATAAAATATTTAAAAAAGTGCAATTGGTTAAAGGTGACAGTGGGTTTTTGAAGTATTGTATGAGTGAACATTTTTTGTAATTTATATAATAATATTATTACACGTATATAATCATATATTGTAACACTCCCAAAAATCAGTTTTTTCTCTTTTTACCTTCCTTTAGTGGATACTTTATATAAGACAAAATGTAGGTAGTAACCTTGTAGGTCTCCATCATAGGGATATTTCATTATAGGGATAGTCCATTGTTTGTAAATTTCATTAATAAATTAGTTTATTTATGTTAAATAATTAATTTTATGCTTATTAGATAAAAATGAGGAAATAAAGAAAGAAGAATGGAGAGCTGCTGCAAAAAAGGAACTGGAAGAATGGTATAAACATCATGAAGAGCTTATTACCAAAACAAAATCAGCTAATAGGTTAATATTGATATTTGTTTACCTTAAATATATTCCAATGATAAATTACTAAACAAAAGGTTTATTTCTCTATTTATGTAAGCAATAGATATATAATGGACGGTTATGTTGCAATATTAGTTTATTACATTATTAAGTATCACCAACAAAATTTCATCTGTTTTGTATCTTAACTCCCCTCTTTCCCAAATTTAATTTAAAAATTTGTTTTCTTTGCAATATAAATTTGGTAGATTTAGGTGGATATCAGAAAGATCTAGGTAGATATCACTAACTTTATGTTCAATAAATGGAACTTAAACTTCTCTTAAGAATTATAGAGTTTTTATGTTATGAGCATACATTTAATTAAATGGGTTATATGCATGTTTTTATTTGTTCTTTTTTTATTATTCTGCATTCATTAAAAAACATTTAAATGTTCATTGGTTCTAAATATATTAATAACTAAGGTCGGTATGACTTCACACTTTCCAGATGTTTGTTTATATTTTGCTTCACCAGTGCCTCTTAAATTGTAAATAATCATTTACTCAAGCTCAGGTTCCCTTGCTGCTCCCAGGAACTCCTCCAGTACACCCGATAATGCTTGAAGTGTTCTTGCTGAGATTACCACGTCATTGGCAAAAGCCAGATGTGTCAGTCTGTTGAAAATACTACCACCTGGATTTGTTTTTATTACAAGGTTGAAGAGCAAAACTGACAGTGGTTCACCTTGGTGCAATCCTTTCTCTACCTTAAAATCTTTAGAACATCTCCATCCGATCTTGACCTTACAGGATGTATTGTTTAGAGCCATGCGAATAAGTCTAATAAGTTTTCTGAGGGTCCCTGAAGAATGCAGACATTTGTACATATTCTCCCTGTCAACAGTATCATAGGCCTGTTTGAAATCGGTAAATACAGTTACACAAATAGACTTACATTACAATCATTTGATTGATCCAGCATTTGCATCACTGAGAATATATGATCAGTGGTAGGCCGACCTGGTCTAAAATTTATTACATTGTTATTCTCCTACTACTTTCTCAGCTCATTTTAATAATCTGCTGATTGCTATAGAGAGCACTTTGTATACTATCCCTAGGAGGTATATTATATGATAATTTCTACACTCAGTTTGTCTTCCCTTTTCAGACATACTAGTAAAGTTAATCAATCTTCAACTCAGGAATTTCAAATAAAGTGTGCGAGTAATAATATTTTTTTTCATTATTTACAATTGGTCACTCAGTGGTGTATTTTTAATGTTTATTGCATTAGAGAAAATACAACAGTTGTCAAACAAGAGGTTAGGTATTAGTCCAAGTACATTGACAATAAGAGAATCATACACGTAGAAATAGAATTGGTACATTCCTGTCAGCTTTAGCTCCCCATATAGGGTCCAGAAATTCTGAAATTCCCCACCCATTATATGACTGAAAGTTGGCTAATTTGATAAATTGGCCTGCCATATTCATGATTTTTATGAGAGTCCATAAAAAGGAGGGCTTGAAAAGAAAATTTAACTTATATTTTTAATCAGTTTCATTATGAGTCTTTTTTTTTTCTGTTTTGTTTGAAACTAGAACTTTTTTTGCCAAAAAGTTAATCTAAAAAATGGTAACTAAGCAGCACTTGAATAAAGAATATATAAGAATTAGGCAATTCATTTAAGATGAATTGTTTTTGTAAACCAAGCTCAATTATTGTTTATTTCTCTTTTAACTTTTTTTTAAAGAACTATTACAAAAAAAATCCTTAGAACTTTTATTTTGACATTTTTTTTTAAAGTTTCACCTAATCTGTTTGGAATAGAACTTTCTAAAAAGTTCCATAAATGTTTCATTTTATGAGGAGTGATAAAATGAAAAAACTTTAATAATAGTATTGACCATGGTAACTGGAAGATGTGATGTCATGGAGGCTATATTGTGAGTTTTTCTTAATTAAAAAATGTATTGCTTTGAAAAAAATGACAAGCATATGCCAAACTTTAGAAACTGGTTTTATAAACAAATCTATTGTCCAAAAATTGTTTCTCTATAATCTGTAACATATGCATGTACCTTTATTGAAATATATTTTTCATTATCAATTTTTCAATTAAGGTACTTTTATGTATGGAAGAACATGTTTTAGAATAATAAGGTTTTAAAATATGCATGTATGTTTCAATATTTATTTTATTTATTTTTTTATTACTATCCATGAACACAGGGAGGCAGCAAAGTGAGTATTGAGTAACAAGTAAGATTAATTTAATTTTGAATAAGTATTTAATGATAAAATAGACTGTAGAAACTTTTTTTTAAATTTAAAATTAGTAAGAACACTAGGTAATTTTATAATATTAGTCAGGGGTTCTCAATGGTATCAATAAAAAAAAAAAAAAAAAAAAAAAAAAAAAAAATAATATATATATATATATATATATATATATATATATATATATATATATCATGGGTGATAAATATTCAGGAAGCAGTCATTATAAAAATTTTTTATTTGTGCCGACGTTTCAACTTAATCATCATTAGGGTTGAAAATTTTAAAATACACTCAGAGATATAATATTATACGAATGGATAATGGTAAATAATAAACTATGGTGATTGATGGTGCATGAATCTTAACTAATATTACAATACACAATATTAAAAATGAAATATGTAAAAAGTTATACAAACTAAAAATAATGTATATAATCCATTTATAAAAGTTTGTAATATTTTCTCTTGCTAACTGTGGGAGCACTGAGGGGTTTTCAAGTACTGACGCATTTGGTAGGTAAGTGAAAGGTTCGGGGGAGGATTTTCCAGTTACTTTTTTCAAATAGCAAAAGGTAGGTAAACATAGTCAGATGGAGGGGGAGAGGGAGGTAATATCTCTTTTTGTAGAATGTAAATAATTTGCTGACTAAATATTCAAGATGTATACAAGATTGGTGTTGTTTCTTATGGTTACAGAATTGTGACTATTGGCTAGTAAAGAAATGAACATAAGCAAGAGGTTCCAATCAGTATAAATATAACTTAGTTTGATTAAAGGCATACAATGGTTAGCCAAATAATGTTTATAATAAAGACAATTGTAGTGGATTGAATTGATACGTAGAACAATATATTATACAATATTTTAAGAATAACAATATTAATCAGGTTATAATAACAAGGCTTAATAACAATATTAAGCGGGTATTTGTGTTGTTATATTCATTTTTTTAAATAGTTTTTGGTTTCTCCTATATATGAAGAGTTGCAGTTTAAGCTAGAACATGTTATATGGTATACAATATTTGATAGTTGTTGGAGTGGAACAGGATCTTTGAGTTTGGTGTATAGATTTCTTTATTTACTGTTATTTTTGAAAACTATTTGTAGATGGGGAAATTTGGAAGTTAAAGCTTTTTTGATTTTTTGAGGTAGGACTGGGATGTATGGAATGGATCTGTATTGGTGAATCGTGGTGGGAGATTGAGAGCAGTTTGTGGGAGACTGGTGAAGATGAGGTTTGGATTGATTTTAATTAAGTTTTATAATGTGATCAGGGAAGGTATTGGATTTCAGGATCTTGTGTAGTTTGGTTAGATTATTGCCATGGAACTGCAGGTCGGTTAATGTTAGACGGCAGTGTATCAGGTTTTTAGGTACCCTGATTTTTTGGTGGTAAGGGTGTTAGGAAAAATAGCATATGAGACAGCTGGAGTAGGTAGGTTTTTTGTACCAATTGGTGGATAAGGTATTATAATTATTTTTGGAAACAAGGAGATCAAGAAATGGGAGGTAATTATTTGATTATATTTCAATGGTAAAACGGATTCGAGGGTGGTATGAGTTGAATGCAGAAAGTATGTTTGGAATAGCGTGGGGATTGAGGATTAATAAAAGGTCGTCAACATATTTTTTAATGAAAAAAATATCATTGGGAAATTTGGGTTGTACAGAATCAATTAGGTTGTTTAGGACAATACTGGAGAGGTCTGGTGCAAGGCAATTACCCTTCGCCAAGCCGGAAGTTTATTGAAAAAATTTGTTTTGAACACATAAGTAGCCGGAGTTACAACATAGAGAGAGGGGCTGAAGGAATGAGGATTGATTGAGGGTAGTGTGTGGTTCTATGGTGGACCAATTTTCTTCAGTTATTTGGAGAGCACGGTCTGTGGGGATATTGGTGAAGAGACTTTCTGCATCAAGGGAGGCCAAGATGAAATGTGGTATATGTTCAAGGATTTTAGTTGATATAATAGGTGGAAGGAATTTTTAATGTCATATGGATTGTTTTGACTGAGAGACTGAATGGTAGAAAGAAGAAATTTACTGAGTTTAGAAGGTGGATAATTAATGTTGGAAATAATAGGTTGGATTTTCAGCAAGCCGTAGCACCGGGGAACAGTGGAATTATAAGAGATGAGCTTTCTATAAGTAGGGATTTTAATTTGTTTAGTATCAAGAAGGTGTTTTAGGTGTTGGTTGAATATGATTGTGAGAGATGGTGTGGGGTCATGTTTTGTGGGGAGATAGGTGGTTTGGTCGGAAAGGAGTGCAAATAATTTTTTAATGTACTCGGTGCAGTCCATAACGACATTTTTGTTACCTTTCTCTGTATAAGTGACAATGATGTCATTGTGGAAGTTAGAAAGGAGTGAGTAGAGGAAAGATCTTTTAGAAATTGTAATGAAAAAGGGGACGGTATTGCAGATGGGTGCTGGAGATGGTTGGTGATAATATTGCATGTTTAGGTTCGGGAAATAGTTCGTTCCTCATCTTTAACAATCAGGTTGGAGTCTTGATGGATATATTATAGATCAGTAAGGAGAGCTGGGACAAGGTTAGTAGATTGAGAAGGAGTGTTGAAATTTGGGCCGAGACTAAGAATAATGTTTACGTGAGGCGGGAGTTCGATGGAAGAAATGTTATGAACCCAATCCATATTGCCACGGGGGTCATTAATTTTTATAATGACTGCGTCCTGAATATTTATCATCCATGATATGTAGAACAGTCAACAAGCTT